TGTTTGGGTTTACAACCAATGAGAAGGCAGAACAAAAGACTATGAAAAGACGGACAGACAGGAAATAGGTCTCTTTCAGGAAGCTAGGAGCACGCAGGAGGAAGGGTGAGATTTTAGCTCTGAGCTCTGACCTCTTGGCTTTCTCTTTTACATTGTTTCTGTGTTTCTTATTTAATAAGACGGTTGGTTACATCTACATTAACTTCTTACTTTAATTTGATTTTCATTTGCTGTGTTGAATGACAGTGACAAGAGTAGATATCTTTGTGTTATCCCTGATTTTAGACAAAAGGCTTTCATTTCTTCCCGTTCAGTACGATGTTAACAATCATACATTTGTGGTGTGGTTTTTTTTTTTTTCTGAGACAGGGTTTCTCTGTGAAACAGTCCTGGCTATCCTGGAACTCACTCTGTAAACCAGGCTGACCTTGAACTCACAGAGATCCAACCGCCTCAGCCTCCCAAGTGCTGGAATTAAAGGTGTGCACCACCACAGCACGGCTTATGGTGTGTATTACTTACTGTATTGAATTATTGTCCATCCATACTAAATTTCTTCAGGACTTTTATCATGAAGGATGATGAATTTTGTGAAATTTTTTTCTGCACACATTTAAGTGATCATATGACTGTTGTAGATTATTTTAAGCTGTATTACTTTTGTTTATATTGCATTGTTTAACTCTGTGAAGCTGCGTTACTGTGCCTGTCTAAAACACCTCATGGTCTAATAAAGAACAGAACAGTCAATAATAAGGCAGGGGAAAAGATAGGTGGGGCTGCCAGGCAGAGAGGATAAATAGAAGAAGAAATTTGGAAGGAGAGGAAGAAAGAGCAAGATAAGAAGGACAGGAGGATGCTTGGAGCCAGGCACACAGCCACACACCTGCCATGGAGTAAGAGTAAAAGTAAGATATACAGAAGTAAGAAAAAGAAAAAACCCCGAGGCAAAAGGTAGATGGGATAATTTAAGGAAAGCTGGTAAGAAACAAGCCAAGCCAAGGCCAGCATTTATGCAACCATTTCTTTTTCTTTTTTTTTGGGGGGGGGTTGTTTTATTTTGTCTTTCAAGACAGGGTTTCTCTGTGTAGTTTTGTTGTCTGTCCTGGATTTTGCTCTGTAGACCAGGCTGGCCTCAAACTCACAGAGACCCGCCTGGCTCTGCCTTCCAAGTGCTGGGATTAAAGGCATGCACCACCACCACCTGGCAAGGCCAGCATTTATAATTAAGAATAAGCCTCTGTGTGTGATTTATTTGGGAGCTGGGTGGTGGGCCCCACAAAGAGCAAAAACCAACAACAACATTTTGATGTTCCAATGTGGGGCTAGAGAAAAAGAGAATCCAACAACATGTGACTTGTTTTGTACTGTATTATTTCCATTGATTGACATACATTCAATTACTTTTTGTAGCCCTTGAATGAAACAAATTGAACATGGTGAATGGTGTTTTTTTTTTGTTTTTTTTTTTTTTGTTTTGTTTTTTGTTTTTCCCACAGAGATCCTTTATTAAGCGGGAAAGAAAATAACTGCTTTCTGACTCGGGGAGAAAACAGTGAATGACCTTGCAGATGTAATTTAAGAGAAGTGGAGGTCTGTGTTAGAGTGGGCTATGATGGTGTGGTAATGGGGAAAGGATAAGGGAAAGGAGGCAGAGGTATTTGTCCCAGAGGGACAAAGGACTGCCTCTGGATAGAGGACACAGATGTAGCACATAGGAAAACAGCAGTTTATAAAGGTGCAAGGGGAAACTCCATATTAGCATGAGGTTTAATTTTAATTGGGCATGTTAATTAGGTGAACTAAAAGGCATTTTTGATAGCTGGACTTTGGTAGTCAGCCTCAGGAGGAGGTGGCCAAATAAGAGAATAGATCATGGGGGCTAGCTTTAGGAATACGATTTAATGGTTTTTAGCAAGGCAGAGGGAATGGGGAGAAGGGCAAAGCCTGCCAAAGCCACATGTCCCTTCAGTCTTCACTACCTCCAATGCTGGGGTTACAGGACACCCAGATTGTTATGTGGATACTGGGATCCAAACTCATTTTCATGGTTGCCCAGCAAGTACTCCTATCGTGGGCAGGAAAGCTTTAGCTAAGTCATTTTAATAAAGAACATGGCAGTGAAGGTACCTTCAACCCTCAAGCTAAAAAAGCAAAATACTGCCTGTGGGGCACACCTTGAGCCCCCTGCACTCAGGAAGTACAGGCAGGGGGATCTCTGACTTCCCAGGTACACAGTGGCACAAGCACACTTATGCACACACACACAAATGTAGACTTTCAAGACAGGGTTTCTCTGTGTAACAGCCCTGGCTGTCCTGGAACTAACTCTCTTTCTAGACCAGGCTGGCCTCAAACTCAAGAAATCCACCTGCCTCTGCCTCCCTAGTGCTGGGATTAAAGGCGTGTGCCACCACTGTCCAGCAAATGTATACTTGTTAAAAAAACTAAAAATGGGTCAGGTGTGGTGGAACATAACTTTAATCTCAGCACTTAGGAGGCAGATGAGTTTCTAAGCCAGCCTGATCTACTGATCTACATTGTGACTTGCAGAACACACACACTCTCCTTAAAGAGTTTTAATTTTTCTCTATACCTCAGGCATAACATTTACCCCCTAAATCTCTGGCTCTATTTATTTGACTCATATAGATGTTTGACCTATAGAGGCCATCATATCTGCCTAACTGGAATTAGTTGTGAATCACCAAATGGAGGCTGGGAACCAAAACAGGGTCCTCTACTGTGCTCTTAACTGCTAAGCCCTTTCTTGTCCCTTTTTAAAAGTCAAGAGATGGTCTTACTGTATCACCCTTGTCGGTCTGAAACAGCCATGTACACCAGTTTGCTTCTGCTTTATCTGCCTGCCCCCTGCTTCAAGTGCTAGGGGCTAAAGGTGTGTGCCACCACTTCTGACCTTGCCTTAAGGCTTGGTTTTGTTTTTGTCTTTTTTTTTTTTTTTTTTTTTTTTTTTTTTTTTGAGACAGGGTCTGTCTATCTAGCTGTGGCTATTATAGAAGTATTATAGGACTTGTTATGTAGACCTCCCTCCCCAGTTCGTGGATCAAGGGTGTGTGAGATAGCACACTTGGCATTAAACATCTTTCCTATTTACTATTCCTCAGAATAAAAAGAAAAGCTCATTATAAACAAGAAATTTATTTAAACAACAAGACGCTTGACTTGAAGGGAAAACTATCTAGGATCATTTTGTTCAAGAGTAATTTACCTCTACTTAAAGACAGATTGCCCTACATGTAACAGCTATGTTCAAAAAAGTTATAAAATTGTCCTTGGTTTTATAATGATAAATGAAAAAACATTAAAATTCTCCAATCAAACAAGGTATGCAAAGATTTTGTTTTTGGGTTCTTTTGTTAAAACGTTGAGAGCAAAATAACTTACTGGAATATAAAGATAAGAGCTGAATGAGCATGCCACTAATAGAGAAAGGGGGATATTTTCACAGAACCAGTGCTTTCCCCCGACCATCTCCATCTGATGTCAATCAAAACAGAACATTGGCCACTTAGTTTAAAAAAGAAAAAAAAAAGCGCAAATGCTTGTGCACGTACACCAGTTACTTTATGTACAATAAAGAAATGGGGACAGGGAAATGAAAGAATAGAGAAAACTATACTGTAGTAGTCAGGATGTGGTGGAACCAAATTGCGGCTTTCTAATTGTGAATGTATTCTTGGTCTATAACAAAATTCTGGAGTAAAGTAGCAGATTCCCTTTTTAGTAGACACCTCCTGTCTGCTGCTGGAACACATCAACCGTATCTTCATCCTCCATTTCCAACTGTGCAGGTGTATCTGTTTCATTGATTGGTTGCCCATCAAACCGGAATCTGATCTGCCTCACTGACAAACCCTGTCGTTCACAATAGGCTTTCATTAGTTTACTAAGTGGTGTATGCCTCTTAATCTTAAACTGCACCACAGAACCATCCTGCCCCGCCACCTTCAAATGAATATGATCGTTGTTCTCAGTCTTGACTCCTTCCTTGGGTTTCTCGTCGGCCATGGTGAGCGCCGGGGTCTCCTCAGCTGCGGCTTCACAAAAGAGGCACCGGTCCGCACTGAAGGCGCACACAAGCAGCACCAGGAGCGGCAAAAGAAGGAGGAGGCGGCAGCGGTGGACGAGGCAGAGGGCACACGCATGTCGTGCCCTGTGAATGGTGTTTTTAATGTGACACTTTACACTTTACAAATAATTTTTGCATTTGTGTTCATCAAGGACATTAGCCTACAGTTATCTTTTGTTTGTGTGTGTAATTGTCTGGTTTTAGTATCAGAATAATATTGGAGTTATAGAATAAAACAGAAATGATTTCTCACTTTCTACTTTGTGGAATGGTTTGAGGAACATCAGGCTTAGTGTTTTAAAGATCTGGTAAAGTCAGCAATGGCTCCATCTTATTTTGAACTTTTCTTTGTTGGAAGTCTTTAGATTGTGATGGGTGATGGTGCTCTGCATGCTGTGAATGTGTTGCTCTCATTGATGATTTTATTGATGAAATAAAATGATGATTGGCCAGTAGACAGGCAGGAAGTGTAGGTGGGATAAACAGACAAGGAGAATTCTGGGAAGAGGAAGGCTGAGTCAGGAGTCGCCAGCCAGACACAGAGGAAGCAAGATGTGAAGACAGAACTGAAAAAAGGTACCAAGCCACATGGCTAAACATAAATAAGAATTATGGGTTAACTTAAGTGTAAGAGCTAGTCAATAAAAAGCCTGAGCTACACAGAGAAACCCTATCTCGAAAAACCAAAAAAAAAAAAAAAAAAAGCCTGAGCTAATGGCCAAGCAGTTTTAATTAATATAAGCTTCTGAGTGATTATTTTATAAGCAGCTATGGGATCTGTGGGGCTGGGCAGGACCAGAGAAAACTTCAGCTACAAGATTGCTTATTCAATCTCATCACTTGCTATTGATCTTTTCAGACTTTTATATCCTCTTGGTTCAATGTTGGTTGGTCTTAGCTGTCTGTTTTAGGATATTTGATCATAGTGTGGTGGCGTGCAGGCAGACAATGGTTCTGGTGAAGGAGCTGAGAGTTCTACATCTTACAGGCAACAGGAAGTTGACTGAGACACTGGGTGATATCCTGAGCATAGGAAACTTCAAAACCTGCCCCCACAGTGACACACTTCCTCCAACAAGGCCATACCCACTCCAATAAAGCTATACCTTCTAATAGTATCACTCCTTATGAGATTATGGGACCAATTACATTCAAACTACCACATTCCACTCTCTGGCCCCTATATGCTTGTAACAATATCAATGAAAAATGCATTTAGTCCAACTTCAAAAGTCCCCATAGTCTACCACACTCTCAGCAATATTTTAAAGTCCAAAGTTCAAAATCTCTTCTGGATTTATGCAATCTCTTAACTGGAATCACCTGTAAAAATCAAAATGAAAAAGCAGATCACATACTTCCAATATAAATGGTACAGGATATACATTACTGTCCCAAAATGCAAGGAAGGGAGCACAGCAAAGAAATGCTGGACCAAAGCAACACCAAAACCCAACTGGGCCAACTCCAAACTGTGCATCTCCATGTCTGATGTCAAAGTGCTCTTTAGATCTCCAACACTATTCAGCTTTGTTGACTGCAACATACTTTTTTTTTTTCTCTTGGGCTGATTCCACTCTCTGTTAGCAGCTCTCCTCAGCAGGTATCCCATGATTCTGGCATCTCTAACATCTTGAGTTCTTCAATCCTAAATTCAGGCTTTAATTTCACAGATTCACACAATGGTATTTCTACTAGGTCTCCATTCAGGGACACCCCTGACACATGCCTGGCCTCAGTGACTTTCCTTAGTCTTGGGGGCAAATTCCACAACCTGTTTCTTCTATTCTTAACTGTAAAGCCAAAACCACTTGGCTGAAGCTGCCAAGTTCTGCTGCTTGCTGGGGCTAAAACATGCCTCCCACCCCCCTACACCGCCCCATCCCGCCTCATTCAATTACATCCTTATCAGCCTTCTGTTTTTGATTTTTACTTTCACTGCCTAAGCTTGGCTGTCTGTGAACTTTCTCTGTAGACCAGGCTGGCCTCAAACTGCTGTGGGATGGTCTGTATGTCAAATTGCTCTGATTGGTCAATAAATAAAACACTGATTGGCCAGTGGCCAGGCAGGAAGTAGGTGGGACAAGGAGAGAGGAAGTCTGGGAAGCAGAAGGTTGAGGCGGAGAGACACTGCCAGCTGCCACCATGACCAGCAGCATGCGAAGACACCGGTAAGCCACGAGCCACGTGGCAAGGTATAGATTTATGGAAATGGATTAATTTAAGCTATAAGAACAGTTAGCAAGAAGCCTGCCACGGCCATACAGTTTGTAAGCAATATAAGTCTCTGTGTTTACTTGGTTGGGTCTGAGCGGCTGTGGTACTGGCGGGTGACAAAGATTTGTCCTGACTGTGGGCAAGGCAGGAAAACTCTAGCTACACCAAACTCAGAGATCTTCCAGCCTCTGCCTTCCAAGTGTTTGGATTAAAGGCATGTACCACCATACCTGGCTCTAAGTTTTTCTTTAATTCCTTTTTACAAATTGGAAACTTAGCTGGTTGGGATCTTACCCTGAAGTCACCACTCCCTTTATTCCATTTCTTTTTTTCCGTTTGTTTCTTTTGTTTTTGTTTTTTGTTTGTTTGGGACAGGGTTTCTCCATGTAGTTTGGGTGCCTGTCCTGGATCTTGCTCTGTAGACCTAGCTGGCCTTGAACTCACAGAAAGCTGCTTGGCTCTGCCTCCTGAGTGCTGGGATTAAACTTGTGCTCTATTCTACTTTCTGGTGCCCCTTTTCTCCTCAAATATTTTTTCTTTCTCAGCTTGTTCCTTTTCACTATAATTCTTCATAGGCGTTAACATTAATAACCACACAACAGAGTCTATACTAGGCTGTTTTGAGATTCCCTTTGCCAATGGAATTAATCTAAAACTCTTCACTTTAGCCTCAAGCCGACTATTTGGACGAGGGCAAAAAAGCATCCACTTTCTTCACCAAAATATCACAAGACCAGTCTCTAGGCCACAGACTGACATTCTTCTCCTCTGAAGCCTCTTGATCCCCACAGTTCACCAAATCACACTCAGCACCACTGTCTTTCATGCTCCTGCTAGTGTGGCCCATTAAGCAGTTCCTAAAGTATTCCATTGCTTTCCTAACTCAAACTCCCAAAGTCAAAATTAGTTCAAACAAAAACATGGTCAGGCCTGGTACCAACTTCTTAGGGTTTTTATTGCTGTGAAGAGACACAATGGCCATAGCAACTTTTTATAAAGGAAGACATTTCATTGAGGTGCCTTGTTTATAGTTTTAGAGGTTTAGTCCATTATCATCATGGGAAGCATGGTGGCATGCAGGCAGACAATGGTGCTGGAGAAGTAGCTAAGAACCCTACTTCTTACAGGCAACAGGAAATCGACTGAGGCACTGGGCAGTATACTGAGTATAGGAAACCTCAAAGCCCACCCCCACAGTGACTCATTTCCTCCAACAAGGCCACACCTACTTCAACAAAGCCACACCTCCTAACAGTGCCACTCCCTGTGAGATTATGGAGGTCAGTTACATTCAAACTACCACAACATTAATTCCATTAATTTCAGTTCTGATCCTCATTATCTTTTCTTCCAGTGGCTGTGGATTTGGATGCCAACTTCCTGTGCCAATGGATGCTTCTTTGTTGTTGGGGGTCTGTGAGTCCCCCACCCCCACCCACAGAGAACAAATACTGAGGACTATTGCTCCTTTCTGTGATGTTACTCATTAGTGTGAGTGTTTTCGGACTGTATTTTATTAGAAAAACTGTTTCTTTGCTCACATAAAATGCAAAATCTCTCTTCTGGAGTTTACCCTAGAAAGATGAGTTTATTGGATGGCCTGGAATTTGCCTGGGCAGAGCTCAGGTATGTGTCAGGGCCCAGGGCACGCCATGGAGATCATATGGAGGTCAGAGTGGCAAACTGTACCAGGCAGAAGGAGCAGAACTGTTGTGGAACAGAATATTTGTTTAACTAGGTAAAAATGTGTTGCAATTGTTTGTGCTGCAGAGTAATTGTACAACTCTGTAAAGATGTGTTGCTGTTTCACCTTGCCTGCCTAAGGCACCTGATTGGTCTAATAAAAAGCTGAACAGTCAATAGTTAGGAGAAGAGGGATAGCAGGATTGGTGGGCAGAGAGAAAAGGGGGGTGGGCTAGCCAGCTGGGGGCCAGACAGACATGGAGGAAGCAGGAAAGCAGGATGGACAGTACATAGATGAAGTAAATGAGCCTCAGGGCAGCACATGGATTAATATAAATGGGTTAAGTTAAAGGAAGCTAGTTAGAAACAAGCCTAAGCTAAGGCTGAGCATTAATTAAAAATTAATTAATTAATTAATTAATTAAAAATTAGTCTCTGTGTCATGATTTGGGGGCTGGTGGTCCAATAAAGCCTGTTACACAGACAGTAGAACATCCTTCTACTGTCTAAGACTATTGTTCTTCAAGACTCAACAACTGTTCATAGTTGTGCATGTCTGCTTGGTGTGTCTACCATCTTTGAATAGCTGTCCTGGGAAGCCAGTCTTAAGAGGAAAATAGCTCATTTTAAGTAGGAAATTGTTGTTTGTATTTGCTCTTTTGGGGGACCCACCATCCAGCTCCCAAATAACTCACACATGGAGGCTTATTCTTAATTCTGAATGCCCAGCCTTAGCTTGGCTTGTTTCTTGACAGCTTTTCTTAACTTTACATTATTTCATCTATCTTTTTCTTTTTCTTACTTCTGTATGTCTTACTTTCTTACTCTGTCGCTGGTTGTGTAGATGGGTGGCTGGCTCCTTGCGTCCCCTCCTCTCCTCTCTTGCTCTTCCTTTTCTTTTCCAGATTTCTCCTTCTAGTCTCTCTGCCTGCCAGCCCCTCCTATCCTTTCTCCTGCCTTGTCATTGGCCATTCAGCTTTTTATTAGACCATCAGGTGTTTTAGACAGACACAGAAACACAGCTTCACAGAGTCAAACAGATGAACACAAACAGAAGTAACCCACCTTAAAGTACTATTCCCCAACAGGAAGTAGTCTCCACACAAAAGGTATGC